GAGTAGATAGATGAGTAGATAGATGGGTGGGTAGATAGATGGGTAGATAGTTAGATGAGTAGATAGTTAGATGAGTAGATAGTTAGATGAGTAGATAGATGGGTGGGTAGATAGATGGGTAGATAGATGGGTGGGTATATAGATGGGTGGGTATATAGATGGGTGGGTAGATAGTTAGATCAGTAGATAGTTAGATGAGTAGATAGATGGGTGGGTAGATGGGTGGGTAGATAGATGGGTGGGTAGATAGATGGGTGGGTAGATAGATGGGTGGGTAGATAGTTAGATGAGTAGATAGATGAGTAGATAGATGGGTGGGTATATAGATGGGTGGGTAGATGGATGGGTGGGTAGATAGATGGGTGGGTAGATAGTTGGGTGGGTAGATAGATGGGTGGGTAGATAGATGGGTGGGTAGATAGATGAGTAGATAGATGGGTGGGTATATAGATGGGTGGGTAGATGGATGGGTGGGTAGATAGATGGGTAGGTGGATAGAGAAATAGATGGATCCCAAAAAAATTATTTCTCATAGAGGTTTGAGTTCAGTCCAGAGTTTCAAGAAGAATCCATCTTGCCTGTTTGACGAAAGTTTTTCACAAAAATGTTTTACAACTATAAGTTGAGAAAAAAGGATTTAGCTCCAGGGCTCCCATCAGCCTAAATCCACACACTTTATAAGGAGGCTATACGTTGGTTTCAAGGCCATTCATGTCAATAGTGCAGTGTCCTTTTCCTTTCTTCAGATGTCTCGGAGGAATTGGAGGTTTCCTCCGGTCTGGAACTTGTCGAATGCCCTCCTCTAGCCTCATGAGTCGAGCCACATCAGATGGGATGAGCTTGTTTTTGACTCCTGAAGAAGGGGGTCGGTAATTCCCATTCTTGTTATGGCAGTTCATGATAGGTGGAGTATTCACTGGCATCTTAGTCTCACAGATCAGAGGTACCTGTGGGACAACATATACAGTATGGAGGTAAACAAGAAAATAAACAGGAGGTACAACATGTGTTTCTTTCCCCAATTTTCAAAAGAAAACTGCCTGAAACCGAATATTATACAGTTTATTATGTCATACGTTTTTAACCAGCTTAGTATCATGCACAAAATCCATCAAAAAACACTGTTTGGAGTGTCTGTTTTGTATCTGTTGAGCATCACTAGAAGCTTCAGAAACAGGTGATTTGAGGGAAACGGTCCTGTTTATTTGCAGATGTTGCAGCTCTTGTACAGTGACCTTACACAAGTATTTATTGCTTGGTATATTTTTTTATTTTGAGCGTTTACAATTTGAAATGTACCATCTATTTGGCATCAGATCGGCACCAAAATTCCCAGTATGGCGCACCTATTGAACAGGACACATATTCTTTAACTGGGCAGATTAAATAGCTGCATGCTCAGTCAGTCCTGCCACTTACACCTGATCACCCCTTACACCTGATCACCTGCAGCCACTTCTTCTCCTCGTCAGATTATTGTGTCACTCATTTGTTTCCCCATCCTCAGCTGAGCATTGTTGGTTTAATTGCCACAGTCTGGTCGTCCTCCTTCTGTCTCCCTGGATTTACTTGAGTTTTGGAAGTTTGATGCCACAACAGCTCTTTGTTTTAATTATAATACATTTTAGTTTTTTCACTCAAACTCTTTGGGTCCAGTTCTTACAACTGTGACACTGATGTCTAAAAAAATAATTGAAACAAGTTTTTCCCCATTCATTAATCTGAAGTATTTTGTTTGACTTAATCTGAATCAAATTAACAATCCAATTAAATTCTAGGTTGAAGGCAGCATAAAAGGCAATGAATACTAATTAGAATGGAAACCTTGTTAAAGCACTATGTGCCACAAAGAAGTGATACCATGAAAGGAAAGATAGTTGTGAGCAGACACCTCACATCGTTGTAGGTTTGACAAAATTAACAACATTTAGGCTTTAGCCATGTTCAGGAAATAACTTCAATCAACCAGAAGAGCCATGAGAAGTTGGGCAGAATTTGCAAGAAGTTTTGGTATTTTTTATTTCTTGTAAAGACGGCAGACAACCTGTAATAAACATTATAGAAAAACAAGGGATGAGTTATTGAACTCAAGCTGAGAGTCATTTCTCAAACCTTGCTAAGCTACAAGGAGTTAATCTGTGGCACCAACTTTGAAAAACTGTTAGGAAAAGAGCCACATGTTTAGGTGAACAATAACTACTGGAGTAGGACTTTTTAACAGGTACACATAAAGAACAAAACACCTATAAGTGCTGTCGTTTCAAGATAAGAAGCAACACTGACAACTCAGTGAAGCCAATTAAAACCATCTCAGCTGTGATAAGTTATTAACATAGTTGACACTTAAAGGCTTGGAGGGATTATTAGAACTCACCCCATCTCCCTCCTTCATGAAGTCTTTCCTGCAAATATGTGCCATAATGCCTGTGGCCAAAGCGTCGCCCATCACATTCACCATTGTGCGGAATCTGTCTCTGCAGAAGACAAACAA